CCCCACCGCGCTCCGCCCCCGCCCGGGAGCCCATTCCCGCCGGGCGGGAAGAGAGCGGGCTCGGGAAGCGAGAGGGCTCGGGAAGGGAGAGGGCTCGCCCTCCGGCAGCGCGCCCGGGAACGCAGACAATCGCCCGCGGCCGCGCCGCGCTGCCCGTCCACGTAATTCGGCGCTGACGACAGGATTTGTAACTAAAACTTTCTGGGAACATCCTGGCATGCAAGTCATGCCTAACATTAAAGGATCGCGTAAAAAAAAAAAAAAATCATCTGAAACCTCTGTGAAATGTTACTCTTCCAGTCAGGCTCGCCATTCGTGTTAGCTCATGACATTTGACATCACACACTAGCAACTCTACTTCCAGAAATCAGACTGCCATAGAAGAGAATTAAAACACCCATATGGCAGACGCATGTTTCCGGCAGGTCGAGAGATGTTCCTTGCCACCCAGCCAGGAAAGGTACTCGTTCCCGTCGTTGCTCCGGCTGAGCTGCCTGTGAACACACTCCCCTACTCAATGGCTATAGGGCTGCCTGAAACAACTAATTTTCCTCAGTTTGGAGGAAGGGCACAGAACTAGGAAAGAAAAAAAGGCTTGGATTTCACAGGAAATAATCCACTGGGCCCAAAACAAAAAGCCCTTTATTTTCCACTCCCTCATAGAAACAACATGAACAACTAGATTTGCAAAATCGTTACAGAAAAGCATAGAATCTGTTCTGCACTTCTTCCAGTAAAATAAGACCACTCAATGTTAGATGTTTAAGTGCCAAATTCAGCTCCTTTCTTTGCCCAAAGACACTCATCAAGACAGCTGCTCTGTTGGGACACTACCCTGGATACACTTGCACACTTACAGCCAGGAAAATCATCTCTGGGTTTAGAGCTGACACTGCTCCACTAGTCTATGTTATTAAAGGAAAAGAGGAGGAAAAGAGCAACTCCACACACATGGGATGGGGAGAAGGAGAACCAATCTTGCAGCTCACTGAGGCAAAAAAGGGGCAGATTTGGCCACTGACACAGACTGCATGATCCTGGGTTTAGTTCATACAAAGCAAACAAGGCAGTGAGCTGCCAGAGGGTCTATCACCTCCTAATGCTGTACTGGTGAGCATCCTAGTGCTGGCTCTGTGTCTGTAAAGGGCTGTAGAGAACTGAAGGGGCAACAAAAAAGCAGTTCTCCTCAGAGAACTAAGCTACAGTACCTAAGCTACAGTTTCTGAGATTAAAACTGTAACAAATACATTTCAGATTTTCATAAAAGGAGAATAGACTTTCATTTTCTTATAGTTCTACAGATAAAAGTAGAGACAATTCACAAGGATTGTCAATGGTTTTCTCTGTCATTATGAGAGTGGCCATGGACATTTTGATTGCACAGATGTTCTTAGATACAAGCCCAATAAATATGACCAACACCCATCCTGGTAGTGGTCTCTAAAGGCTTATTGGCATGATAGAGGGAGAAATCATCACTGCTGCTACTGTTCATGATGTTCAGAGCACATACATGAATAAATGACATCTGTTCTCAGGGCTTTAAACTCAGAATCTTACAAGAACACTGGAATTATTGAAATGTGAAGTACAGAACTGGGTCTGCTTTTATTTCATAAAGCAACTGAGGGCAAGAACAAGAAAGAACGCTCCTCATTATGTGCTGCTCATTGTTATAGAGAATATCCAGTATTTGGTGGCAGCATTAGAGTCGCATTTTTCTAACACTGAGTGTGAACAGTATTATTTCTCAATAATTATTTCTTCCCCTTTCTCTGAGGGGAAGTATTTTAAGTTTGGCTTGTGTAGATAACTATCTCTCCAAAAATACTAGATATCCATTCTGGGTAAGTGGAAAAATTCAAGGACAGGGAATAACATCTGTACTGCATAAAGAGTAAGCAGCATTTGATACCATCTTATCTAAGTGTATGATCTTTTAAAAATCAAAACAAAACCCTCATTCCTATGAACTGTTCCATGTTATCATGGAAAGAATTAGCAAGATATTTGTGGCTGTTTTTAAATAGTAGCAAGTAAAATACTTCAAAGCCACAACTTAAAGCTTACATCAGAAAGCTGACCTTTCCATTTTACAGATGTCTTAATAAATTTACACATACACAAATATCCCAATTATTTTTCCTCCAACAAAGATCTCTCCACTAAAAGAAGCCATTTGGAGATAAGAAAAGATATGAGACATACGGAAATATTAAGAAGGAGGGTGTAGTTTTAACTTGAAAGAGGAATATTTCTGACTCACTCTCCTCTCAATTCAGCTTTCTTTATGTTTAATGGCTGTATTTTTGTGAGTCTTCATAGTATGTCACCACTAAATGGTGTCTCAGAAGAATCTGCATTAAGGGTATAGCTACAACTGTATTACCTGAGAACTGGCCACTCCTGTTGCTTTTGTGTTAACTCTGGTGATGGTTTTAAAGAAGATCCTGTTCCCATTTAAAGCTTTTTCCTCTGAATTATATTTAAACATGTTTTGGCAGTTACTCTTCTCATGAATTATCCCCTCCGTCCACGTTCACAGTTAAAAGTTTCATCTCTCTCTTTCCTCCCTGTACACAAAAAGGTCTTCACAAATTCAGGTGGAAAAAGTGCAAGAAAAAAATATACCTGACAGTAATTATCACTTTCGATTATTTGGCCTCTGTTTAAAAACACGCACAATTTTTAACCTTTATTACTTAGTTTTCACCCTTCATTAGAATTTCATTGAGTGTTGCCTCATCCTTTCTCATTTCATGGATACTTTGTATCAGGGGAAAAGATAGAAAGTAACTACTGTGAAAGTACTATTTGTGATGTAAATTCAAAATGTAATAATGTTTTGGCTCTTCAATACAGCTGTAATAAACCATAGCAAAACAAAGGTGTCTAAGGAAACAGCAGACTTTTATGGCACCTCCATGTGATGCAAAATGCAACAAGTGATTCATTTGGATCCACCAAAGGAAAAAACTAATGAATCCTCTCAATTTCATCCTATCTAAAGACTCAATCAAGCCTCACTAGATGGCTTCTGAAATGATAATATGGTGAAGAAATGAGTGAGCTTTGTTACTTCTTTTGGCTAGATTATAAGCGAACCTTTTTCTCAATACAAAATAAAATATTAATCACAAAACTGAACTACTACACCAAACCAGATCTGCCCAGCCCTCTCATGAAAGACAACAGCAAGACCTAATACCACAGACTGGCAGTGGCTGTCCCCTTAATGAGAAGTGCATAGGAGCCTACTGCCCATGCTAGAGATGAAATTCAGCTTTCAACAAAGCAATTAGAATGATTTTCTTGGAGGCTTCCAGATACTCAGCGGAAAGAGAAATGACAATGTTTCGGATAACCTCCTCAGTGCTGTTAGTGAGAGAAGTGTTTGGGCTATCTGCTAACCAGTAGCAAGTATGCAAAATGCTGACATTGGGCTAGTGCCCAGAGATGACATGCAATTCATTCTCCATGTGGCAGATGGAAGAGAACAATTCCTCACCAGACTGCTGGCCACTGACTCAGCAGCAGAGCCCTTCCAAACATCTCCTGTAGGTTAAGCTTACATAAAATGGTATTTTTGGCCACAAAATTTGTAATTACTAAAATACTTTGATTCAAGTGATACTAGCATTTCCTGCTCAGGAATGAAAAGTGGTATTGGTGATGGGCTATCTGTCCTCTTCCCTACCAGCAGTATCTCTTCTCTCAGTGTCAGAGCATAACACAGTTACCAGGTGCTGAGGCTTATTTGGGATCCTGCACCTTCGCAAGAGGACTGAGGGATAGTAGGATCTGTGAAGGGAAAGGTGATCCTACACTATGTAGCAGAGAAACATAAGAACCCAAGGGCCATGTTTCTCTACGGACAGTAGAGAAAAGTTCTCTAACCCTGTCCTGGAGGCAGGGTTAGATCAACTAGTGTGAGGTCACGAGAATATTAGATGATAAAACACCTCATAAGATTGAAGTAGCTTTCCTAGTGTACCCTGAGATTAGCTCAGTTGGCTAGAACATGGTGCTACTTACACCAAGGTTGTGGGTTTGATCCCTGTATGGGCCATTTACTTAAGATTTGGACTTGATGATCCTTGTGGGTCCCTTCCAGCGCAGAATATTCTGTCATAGGTGACTAATATTACCTTGAGATTCTTCCTTGTGGGTCTGTTTTGGATAAAGAAGAATTCAGACATTCCTCTTTTTAATTTGAAATAGTCTATCTAAAGAAAATGGATTGTGCTTTTCTTATGCCCTATTATAAGGCAGTTGTGGGTGACAGCAGATGCTGGGATGATCAGTCACTTATCTTGAATGGATAATATCTTAGCGTCTGCCTCAGAAACTTCTGAGTAGAAAGGTTTTGGTGAAGTCCTTAATTAAACAAGGCACCATAGAACATACTAAACACAGCACGTGGAACCTATCATCCTGAAAAGGACCTCTCTTTGCGTGAGGCTGAGCATTACAGAGAATCTAGACCCACAAGAAAGCAGCTCTACCTTCAAGGTGGCTACAGAAAGAAAAGCTGAAAAGAGGACCCTTCTAGATGTACGGTATCTGACCAACAAACATGATGCATTCCAAAAACACTGATGAGCACACTTTGGATTGGAAAGCTTTATGCTGGATTCTGTATTTTTTTGTCTTCCCACAGGGAGCAAAATAAAGCTTAAAGATGCCAGGAACTTTGCTATGGGTTCTGACTAATTCCACTCAAGCATAATCCTATATTTGCATTTGACCAAGATCAAGTGTGTTTGCATTTGACCAAGATCAAGGGTGCACTGCTGAGTGGTCTAATTGTGATCAAATGATCAGATCTCTATAAACGAGCAAAAAACCACAGCCTGAATCTGCAGATAAGTCCAGGCAGATTTGTGAAGAGATCACTTTGATCTGAATAGCTGGATGCAAAAAACCCACAAGGACAATGCGGCAAATGAGCAATGGGGGAAACTCAGAGCATAGTGGGGAATTGCCACACAAAGACATCAGAGGTTTCATGCATTTATTCTGTTTTGTGATGAGGGTTTTCTGGTAGTTGTGCAACCAGAGCAGGAAGAGTGGAGCACAGGCAGAGCAAACTAGAAGACTGCAGAAGCAGATCATAAAGCTCAGAACAAATGGGGATGCTCCCAGTGTGCAGTGACAAACACGAAGTTCAAGCCCTTGAGATCATCAGCTAGGTCTTGACCGTAGCTGAAACAGCTGAAGCCTCCTGTTTTTCCTCCCTGCAGGGCAGTAGTTTTTGGTCTTCTCAGTGCCACCAACCTGAGGGATAACTTAGCTGAGCTCTCCAGACTGCTGAGGCAGCTCTGGGGAGAGAGCAGCAGACACTGGGATGACACACACCTGCACACACACCCTGACACAACTGGATAAACTATAAAATATTAATGATGCAAGACTGCTTATTTTAAAAATCCCCTGACACTGGAATGCAAAAGATGTGAGAATCAAACAGCCATTAATGTCCCCTGCCAGTAGATACCTGGCCCTGGAAGAACTTTGCACTGTTTTCCCCCAGCCTCCCACTGTTTCCTTGTGGCAAGCACTGACAGGTCTCAGGAGGAAAAAAACCCCAACCTCCTAAAGTTTCAGAAGCATTTTCAAAATGCAATTAATTAAAGGTTATACTTGAAGCTTGTATGATTAACTCAAGTTAGATGGGAAGAAAGACATTTCATTTCAATACAGATCTCATTTCCTTTGTGGAGAAGCACTACCTCACAATGGGGAAAAATTAAATACACTTCTACTTCCAATAATAGAAAAGTTATGTAGTAAAAAAAGTCTAGAAAATGTTGAGGAAAACCAGAGTATGAGCAGAACATGACACTCACATTTGACTGGTTAAAATCAAAACATAATTATAAATTTATCAATTCCCCATGTGCTACGGGAGACATGTATACTATGATTACCTATTTCTGTTAAACAGGACTTCACATTAGTTAAGATGTCCATACTCACTTTGGACCTTTAGAACACTCTAGTAATGAGTAATATAAAATAAGCAATCTTGTATGCTTAATGTTCCAGAGTTATAGCCTAGCTATTTTTTCACATATTTAACTATAAACACAAAAATAGTCCCACTGCCCTAAGCATATTATTTTGTGTACTTCAGTTGCAACAGTAGGAGACTAGGAAAATATATTGGGTTCCACAGTATGGAGAGCCATGAAGAGTAGCCAGTCTTCTCAGTTCCCTACAATTTATTTAATAACTTAATAAATCTATTACTAACAGCATTGATTTCTCATAATTTAATTCAGCCACTATCTCCATAGACAGTACACAGATTCTAATGGACTTTTATGTGGTTCACATACTCTAAAGGAATACTCATTTTAGTAAACTGAAAAAAACTCAATAGCTGAAATAAAACTTTGTTAACCATTCCATCCCCAACCCAATATATTCTTGGTTTTGCTGGAAAGACCTTAAAAATAAAAACTATCCATTCAGGTTTCTCTCTCAGCAAGTGTAGGGTCCAGAACTTACCTACAGTCAGTGGAACTACAACACAATATGAGGAGCATCTGTGTGTAAAAGCTATTCATTTGAGAAGGATCCAATCCTGCCCCCACTAAAATCACAGCCAAGTTGGTACTATATCCTTATGCATTTTAAACATAGATAACAAAAAGAGGAAACAAATACCATACTACCCTGTTCTTTTCCAGAATCAAGCTGAAGAAATTTTAATTTCTATAACGTTGCCCTCATATCATAAGACTCCCTGCTCTGGTGCTCTCAGACAAAACCCCAGCAGGAAAACTGCAGCAGCGTGCTGAGAACTACAGCAGCCCCTCACAGTCGATTAAGAAGTGCACTCTGCGCTGCCCACCCGGTCCTTGACCGTCACTTCTCATCACCAGCCTTCCATTGAATTACAAGCTGCAGCACAGTCCTTCCCTAGGTATTTCCTATGTAATGTGAAATTTAGAATACCACTACAACCTACTAATATAATAATTTGCATGTACAGTAATTTTGTATGGTGCATATAAATCTGCCTTTTTATTACATTATCTGGGATTTTTATCTGTGTTGTTCTGCTGATTACATTATTTCTCAACTGTCTTGAAAGCAGAAAGCTTTATCAGCAATGTTCCCTTGCACACACTTTTAATTTACTGTTTCTTATGTCTCCCTTTCCATTTCTTCTCGGGGCTTATTAACCCATTGAACATATCTTTGCCAATGATGAGGGCTCTTTTGCTTTTGTGATTTTCTATATTTTTGGCTAAGTCATACAGTCTTTCAATTACAATAAAAGCCACAAAATGGCAATAAACCATCTTTAAAACCAAGATTCAAACACTACCTCTATCAATCTGAAAAAAGCACTTTCCCCACGATTCACTTGGCTTTCCATTCAGAAGTTTGCAGCTCCAGGTTTCATTACAAACAACATTCCACATTTAGTTGTTTTAAGCCAATTCTGTTTCGACTCCTAAAAACACACTGAAAAACATCTGTGAAATATAACACACAATACCAGGCTTTTAAAATACAGCAGCAGGATTTCTCCTTATGGCTCTTTTGTGGTTTTGATAAAGCTGCATTTCTTCAAAGGGCTCAGGATATACTACTGTAAGTCACCAGTGCACATTTCAGCCACATGTGCTGACTGTGCTTCCGCTCCTCTGCCAGAACAATGGAAGCCCTGACATGCTGAGTCAGCTATCCACAAACAGATCCACACAGAACAAATGCAGGTTCTGCTAACCATGTTCTGTTAACCATGTCTTATCACAAAGAATGCTAGATAGCTGCGTCATTTCATGTAAGACTCACGGACTAGGTAAAATTTGGAAATGCATGCATATGTTCAGGAATGAAGCCCAAAATATTATTTGACATGAGGTAAGCTACTGAAATTCATAAATACAAAAATAAAGTTACAACAAAATAGTCATGGGGTCAGTTCTGCCATTTCTTCCCTCCTGGGTATTCTTAGTACCAAGAGGGAACTCTGGCATTCCTGGAGAAACCTGCACACAGCTGGATGGACAGGCTGGCCATGTGAACTCTTACTGAACTGATCTGGTAAGTTCAGATACTGCTGCAACTTGTGAGTCCAAGCTCAAAAATTTTAAATGAGTTCACGGGCACAAGGATCCAAAAGAACAAGGGAACCTCAGAAGTCAGCTGAGCAGGTCTTTTAGAATCACAGAATCAGCTAGTTGAAAAAGACCTCTAAGATCATCAAGTCCAACTGCTAACCCAGCACTGCCACGTTCACCACCAAACACGTCCCCAGGTGTCATATGCACATATTTTTGAAACACTTCCAGGGACGGTGATTCCACCAGTTCCCTAGACAGCCTCTTCCAATGCCTGACAATCCTTTCAGTGAAGAATTTTTTTCCAATATCCAATCTAAACCTCCCCTGGTGCAATTGCAGCCATTTCCTCTCATCCTGTCACTTGTTACCTGGGAGAAGAGACCGACCTCCACCTTGCTACAACCTCACAGTTGTAGAGTGACAAGGTCTCCTCTGAACCACCTTTTTTCCAGTCTAAACAACCTCAGCTACTCTCACAGGACTTGTGCTCCAGACCATTCACCACCTCTGTTGCCTTTCTCTGGACCTGCTCCAGCATCTCAATGTCTTCCTCAAAGGAGGGGGCCCAGAATGGAACACAGTGCTCAAGGTGCAGCCTCACCAGTGCCAGAGGATGATCACTTCCCCCGTCCTGCTGGCCACACTGTTCCTGATCCAGGCCAGGATGCCACTGACCTTCTTGGCCACCTGGGCATACTGCTGGCTCATGTTCAGCTTCCTGTCAATCCAAGCTCTCAGGTCCCTTTCCACCTGGCTGCTCTCCAGCCACTCTGTGCCCAGCCTGTAGCGCTGCAGGGGGTTGTTGTGGCCAAAGTGCAGGACCCGGCACTTGGCCTTGTTGAACCTCATCCCGTTGGAATCAGCCCATCTGTCCAGCCTGTCCAGGTCCCTTTGCAGAGCCCTCCTGCCTTCCAGCAGATCAACACTCCCCCCCAGCTCGGTGTTATCTGCAAATTTGCTAATGGTAGACTCTATCCCCTCATCCAGACCATTGATAAAGATATTAAATTTAAACAGGATTTTTAATCCAGGATGTATTAAATTCTCAAGTGTCGCATTGGTTTCAATTATAATTAATGAGCAGAATGTAGGCCAGCTTTAATTAATTTTCCCGTTTTTTTTCTCTAACATGCAAAAAGCTGTAATATACAGCCAAACAGCAAGAGCTTAGAAAAATAACAATCAACTATTACATTCCCTCATTGTAGATTCACAAAGTCATCCTCATACACGTGCTTTGACTTCTCTCACAACTCCAGTTAAGTCAATGACAGTGGAAGTCTAATTCAGCTGATGTCTCAAGCTGGCATCCAGACTTCCAGAACAGGCTGACGTGCCTGTGCAAGTGTATGTGTGTAAAAGTCAGGCCACTGAGGGTCATCTGGCTAAGGAAAATTTGTCACATATGTAGTTTTTCTATGGCTTGTTGGAAGTGCATAGTCTCAACTTGTGTGAAGGGATTTATCCCAAGACCTTGATAGTCTGTGTTCTGTAACTCTGATAAGAAATGTAATCAGAAATCTGTGTTTTGTTTGTTTGAGATTCCTGGGAACTTTTCTGACTCTTCCAATCCCAGCCGGCACACGGATAGTCTATTAAACACAAAAACTGAAATAGAAGATAAAAAAAGACAATTTGATTTTGAGGGAACACTTGAAGCATGCCTTCTGCAGTACACAAACTCCCTGCAGAATACCCACTGACAGCGTCCTCCCATTACAGAGGAAGCCTGCATCCCTGCAATGCATGCACTCTGAGGTTTGTTACCCCTGGATGTATCTAGTTCAGCATGGAGTTAGTAACAGACATGTAAACAATATCTGTAAGCCCCACAAGTTTCTAAAGAGAAACTTTTGTCCTTACCCACATACACGTAATATAGCAAGCTCTCAACGTGACTGAGAGCTCATGTATTCGCATCTGTCAGATACTCTACTCAGGGGAACCGAAACATCCCAGAACATGGACTGATGTCAAACACTAACCCCACTTAAGCATGCCTTGTTTTGCAAATTTCAGTATCTAAGAATAAACTCCAGAAACACTTCTACAGACTTTACTTACTGGTGCTTCTTGTACCGCATAGCAAAATACCAACTTGTTCAATTCTTTTACAGACACATATTACAAAAATATTGGAGAAAAATCCAAATCCCTCCCCCTCAAACCCCAAAGCCACTAGAAGAACCCAAACAGAACCTCAATAGGACAATTTGGAGAAAAAAAGTAAAATAGGA